CCCACTGCCAGTCAGGACTTACACTGGGATGGCCATTACTAATCTGTGGATGTGAATATGGTCAGATTCATCCTGTTCCCGCCGTAAATGCCGTCCGATAGAGTTACGGTAGGGTAAGGGCGCCCTCACCAAATCGATGCACCTGTCTCCTGCTTTGTCCACTGATGCACCTGTCTGCTGCTTTTGTCCACTAATCGTCCTGCTCGTAGTGCGGGCAACACAATTCAAGCGCCCCGACCAAGCGAACGCTATTTTGTTTTTTGTTTTTTCATTTCTTTTTTTGTTTTCCTTCTCTCAAAAAACAAAAAAAAGAAAATCTTGGTAGTACGCATCTATCTCATCCTAGTCTATATGTATAGTACCCCCCACACATCACACGGCCTCGCTCCACGGCGGAATTCGGCGCGCTTATGAGTCCACAAGGCTATTTGAGCGAAGTAAACAGAGAAAGTAAACAAAGCTACTTCGCTCAAATAGCCTTATGGATCGGTCGCGGTAGCCTTGAAGAGCGAAGTGCGGTCGCAGAGATAGTAATACACCATTCAAGCTCTAGAGATTCTAGCGGAGGAACAAGTAAACATCGCAGTGCTTCTTCTAGACATGGAAAAAGCCTACGACCAAGTTGGATGGGCGTTTGTGTTCACGACGCTGGCGAAAATGGGATTTGGTAAAGGTTTCTGCACATGGGTGAAGGCAATGTACACAGACGCAGAATCAATGGTAATGGTAAACGGCCGCCTCTTCTCTAGTTTTCCTATGACACGGTCCCTCAGACAAGGGTGCCCCTTAGCACCCCTGCTCTTTGTCCTACAACTAGAGGTCTTGCTACATAATATCCGGATAAATTATGCCATATCAGGACTCAACATCCCCCATTCCATTCACTGGAAAGGAGGCGTGCTAGCAGACGACCTGACTATCGCATGCTCTAACACTATCCCATCTTTCCACGCTCTGAGGGGTGTGCTAGATGAATACTGTCATCTTTCGGAGGCTTCCATAAATTGGGAGAAGTCTGCCTTCCTCCTTCCAGAACCGTTTGAGTCCAGGCCCTCAGAAGCAAACTTAAAAAGAACCCCATAAATACTATCAAAACGAGACTGGAAGCACAACAAGTCCAGCAGATATAAAAACCGGACCTGCTAAATCTATGGAAAATCCTCAAAAAAATGTCGTCGCAGCGTAACGCAGCGATCCTCTGGTTCCAGTCGCTACAAGTTACACCGACATCAGTTTGGCTAAAATCCAAAGGGATGGATATTGAGAAAACATGTGTGAACTGCAAGTGGGCCTCGGAAACGGATGCTCATCTTTGGATTCATTGCCCCCACTCGCAGAGGGTATGGGAATGGTGGAAAGAGAGCTGGAGAATGGGGGGGTTCCATGACAGGTGGTGGTCAGACAAGTTTATCCTACAAGGTATTCAAGATGACCAGGGCCCGTTAGCCTACGGAGTGAAATACATGGCCAACATTCTCAGAGGTATCATCCTGGAAGCAATCTGGTGGAGGAGAAATCAACTCCTGTTTAGGAACGAAGAGAAGAGTCAGCATCATGTGTTCAACAGGATCCTGGTGGAAATCAGGACTACAATACAGGCTGACTGGAGGGCCAAACGTCAATCATGGTTCTTGAAAACCTAGGCGCTGAACAAGGCTTGTGCCTCGGTTTCAGAGGAAGGCAACATGTCCTTGGCACTTTGGTTATTAAAAGAGCACGAGCCCTGAATCTGGACCGCAGGTTTTCCTAATTTGGCTTTGGTTCAAGTAGTTAAGTCCTTTATTTTCTTACTGGTTGTTTCCTTTATTAGTTCAAAGAGTCACAGTCGTGAATGATCTCATTTTCAAGGGTGAAGCGAACGACCTCAAACACACTTTTAACCACATATTGGCGGAATTTTGGATCACAGTTTTCAGTGTATGAAGAATTTCGATCACAGTCTTTCAGTACATGAAAAGCCAAGGGTCCACTCCGAGTGAGTAAGACATGGGCACTTGGAGACAGATTCGCAAGCATCAACAGCGGAGGTAATTTAGAGATAGCTAAATGGTTGTTGAAAGCGTGTGCCACAGTCGAGAGTGTCTCTGCAGTTGGTTACTGACTGAGTCCTCTTGGTTTAACTACTCCCCGCTTGCGGGACTTTTTCTCATTCCCTCCGGTTTTGTTCCTTTATGACTTTTTACTATTAATTAGTCCAGTTGCTGTTTTTTTTTTTTTTTTGAAAGAGGCTTTATGGGACGCTGGACCCGGTTTCCGGCACAATCCTAAGCTGGGTATTGGCCCCAGTTTTTCCTCCGGGTTGAAATGTCGAGGTTTTCCCGGCCTCCTTTTATGATTTGGAAATAAAGCTATCTTTCTCAAAAAAAAAAAAAAAAAAAGTCGAACGAGGCCCATAATAACCCATAACCCACCCGCCCACCTCCCGCCAGACGTGCATCAATGCACCCTGCGAGCTGGGGCCAAGTCCCACTTGTACATATCCCTCTGCACATATCTGATCCAAATAAAATAGGAAATAAAAGCACCACTGATGTTGCAAGATAGCACATGAGAGAGTGATGAAAGTAGGCCGCAGGCCCCCACACCGGGGGAAAATCAAGGGTGGTTGGGACCGCTTCGCCAAAATTGGCAAGGAGAAAAAGACTCCCTGTGTGGTACCGGCTAATCGACTAAATGTGTGTGTGTGGACGCAGGTTCGCATACACGATGTCCGCTGCGGCTGGTCGAGCATCTGAAAGCTCAGCACAAGAGAGCCCGTAGCCTGGCGCTACTGGTTCAGTACCGGTGACTTATACTCTTCCAGGCTCCGGAGGTGGGACCAGCAGGACCCACGAAGTCCAGCTCCATCCAGGGTGAGTCACCTGTTCCAAGCCCAATAAACTGCTTGTCGTACATGTCGTGGAAGGAAACTCGGCCCTGGATGATGACCGTAGTGTACTTGAGGAGCCATCGATACTGAAGATCCATGCTACAAGAAAACAGAATGTAATCTCACATTCAGCCAAATGTTGCATCAAGTCCAATTGAATGAGGTTCCGAAGTTCCAACCACATCCAACCGTAGGAGGTAGAAACAGGCAGGCCTGGACCGGCCAAACAGACGCCAACCGTGGGCGTTCCTCCAGGTCAAATGCATTCCTGACCGTAGACTACAGAGATTGACGATTAACAATTAAGAATTCGGCAAGTTGGACTCATCTGCTGTTTTTCAGCCGACCCCGGACAGATTAGAACAGCCAGTAGTAATTATGGGCCTCGGTCCACTACTCGCCAAATGTGCTTAGTGAGACAGAGTCTTCGGGTATAATATGGAAAGATGACCATCCATATACTGACGAGACGCCTTGCTAGCCTACAAAATGTTGAAACCAGCATGAGGAAGCTTAGAAGCGCTACAACAAGCCCTACAGTTGGACGCTGAAACCAACGACAACAGGTCGGACTTCATCTACACCCTCGGATTCATGCATCTTCGACTAACAACTTATCGAGATTCTTTTTTTATCACAGTCGACAGTCATCCATGCATAGTATTGTTTTAAATCACATCAATGCCGAGACAAATTTGTGAAGTGACACTCACCCTGGCTGGAGCACGGCGAGGTGGTCCCACTGCTCTAGCCCATGACGGTATAGTAAGTCACAAGAGGCTGCCCAGTCACGACAACTTGCGAAGCCTCCCGAGCAGCGCCTTCTAGGCCTCGTCTTCTCGCGGCGCTCATTGTACTATATGCGAACCTGCGCACACAAAACATAATGGTCAGGTCACTCAGAGGCTGAGTCATTTTCCTCGCCTCGATTTTAGCTAAGGATTGTTGTGTGTCCGTCCCCCGTAGTGATTCAGTCGTCACGGTACCACGTCCATCCCTACACATCATGAACACCTCCGTTTGCAAAATTGGTGATCGTCCTAATGTCCATTTCTGAAAGTCTGCTACGTCATCTGAACCAAGGTCTTCAACCAATTAACCCCCAATCCACCTCAACTTTCATCCACCTCACTCTCTCACTCCTGTCGACCCTCCACTCTATTACCCTTTCCTTTTAACTTATTTTCCCTCCCACCTCACAACTCATACCGATTTCTTTGTGTCCAATGATCGCCTAGTGAATGAATTCACGACTTTCATCACACCTATATCCAAACTCCGTCCCTCTCCACACATCACAGTCGATGAAACCATTCAGATAATTTTTGTCTTAGACCTTGCCATTGCAACTCTGCTTTCCCTCCACCTCTTCGCACTCCCCTTATTCATCCCAACATCCGTTGCTGACCTCCAAACCTATTTTGTCAAAAAACAATAGGGATTAACTTTTGTCATCAAATTAACGATTTTCATCACACCTATGTCCAAACTCCCTCCCCCTCCACCCATTACAGTCGATGAAACCATTCATATCATTTTTGTCTTAGA